TAATCAAGTCTTCTTGATTTTTTCCTGTTTAATATCTCTCTCATCCAATTCAAATACAAAGTACCACTGTCAAAAACCTAGGTCATAAATAAAAAAAAAGTGCATAGTAGAAGAGAAAACTTATAAGGAAGCAAAGAAAAGATGAACAGCTTTGAACACAATGTGTAGTATATATTTATATATACTTCTTTGAAATGGAAATTTATTCTTTATTTTTTGAATCCTCTCTTCTGTTCTGCTGTGCACATGACAATGCTTTTGTTTCTTTTCTTATTTTGTATTTAAGTTTCAGTATTTAAGTTTATGTTTCATTTTCTTTTCTTATTGTGTATTTATGTTTTAGTATTTAAGTTTAAAATAAATTGATTAAAAAAAAACTCTGGTCAGAAGACTTGGGTTCAATCCCACTGCTGGCTCCCACCATCTATTTGATGTTGGTAAAATAATTCAATTTCTCTAAGAGTAATGGGGTTCAATTAAAGGACCTTTAAAATCTCTTCTAGAAATAAATCTATAGAAAAACCTTTCCAAATACCTATAAGAAATGGCTCTAAACAAATTCTAAAGCATCAGAACCCACAAAAAGACAGAAAGAAACAAATTTCCAGCCAAAGACAGCCTGTATGGTTGATCAGAAAGGTATATCGTGCCAGGTGGGGAGAGGAGCACAGTTCAGCGTGGGCACGCAGGCCACAGCTACCCTGGAGCAGGCCTCAGAGGACTGAATCACAGGCAGCTGTGGCAGTTTCCAGACTTCTCAACCCATGAACACCAAAGACAACTTAGAATGTCAGTAGGAAAAGTCTGTGACTGCGGTGAGAGAAGGAGCTAGGTCTCAGCCGCAAGTCTCGAGCTTGCCCCCTGGGCCGTGGCTGTTTCCTGAGCTTCTGGGGCATAGACTGAGGGGGAATTGAGTTGCTGATCAGAGGGGGATTTCAGAGACCTCTTTGCCACTGCTGAGGCCGGAATCTCTTGCTTTACCGGTGCTTGGATCTGGATCACAGTTCTGAGGGGCGGTCCTGGGGCAAGGAGGAAAGCTGGTGTGGTGGAGCTTATTGTGGTGGTGGAGAGGAAACACCTCGCCCCTTATGATACCACCTTGGAAGAACTGAAAATTTTCAGGTCCCTAGAAGTATCTCTGAAAATAGCTGTACAAACCCCCAAAGCTTAGGACAGTACATTCTCCACATTGGAAACAGACTTTTACCTTAACAAAGAGTTTAAAACTCAAGTAATTGGCTGGGATCATGAGTAAGCAGTGCAAAAAGAGTCAAACTATATTATCTTATTTTGGTGATAAAGAAGATCAAAACATACAACCAGAAGACAACAAAGCCAAAGCTCCTAAATCCAAAGCCTCCAATAAGAATATGAATCAGTCCCAGGCCTTGGAAGAGCACAAAAGGGATTTTGAGAAGCAAGTAAGAGAAGTAGAGGAAAAATTGAGAGTTTTGCAAGAAAATCATAAAAAATAAGTTAACAGCTTGCTAAAGGAGACCCCCAAAAATACTGAAGAGAATAACACCTTAAAAAATAGCCTAACCTAAATGGCAAAAGAGGCCCGAAAAGCCAATGAAGAGAAGAATGCCCTAAAAAGCAAAATTGGCCAAACAGAAAAGGAAGTCCAAAAGATTACTGAAGAAAATACTTCCTTAAAAATTAGAATAGAACAATTGGAAGCTAGTGACTTTATGAGAAATCAAGACACTGTAAAACAAATCCAAAAGAATGAAAAATTAGAAAACAATGTGAAATATCTCATTGGAAAAACAACAGACCTGGAAAATAGATCCAGGAGAGAGAATTTAAAAATTATTGGACTATCTGAAAGCCATGATAAAAAAAAAGAACCTAGACATCATCTTTTAAGAAATCATCTAGGAAAACTGCCCTGATATTTTAGAACCAGAGGGTGAAATAGAAATTGAAAGAATCCACTGATCCCCGCTTGAAAGAGATCCCCAAAGGAAAACTCCTAGCAATATTGTAGCCAAATTCCAGAGTTCCCAGGTCAAGGAGAAAATACTACAAGCAGCCAGAAAGAAACAATTCAAGTACTGTGGAAACACAATCAGGATAACACAAGATTTAGCTGCTTCTACATTAAGGGACCGCAGGGTATGGAATATAATATTCCAGAGGGCAAAGGAAATAGGATTATAACCAAGAATCACCTACCCAGCAAAACTGAGTATAATCCTGCAGGGGAAAAAGTGGTCATTCAGTGAAATAGAGGATTTTCAAACATTCTTGATGAAAAGACCAGAGCTGAATAGAAAATTTGGTTTTCAAATACAAGACTCAAGTGGAACATGAAGAGGTAAACAGGAAAGAGAAAATCATAAGAGACTTATTATGGTTGAACTGTTTACATTCCTGCATGGAAAGATGATATTTGTAACTCATGAGACCTTTGTCAGTATTAGGGTAGTTGGAGGGGAAAAAATTATATGTACGTATCTATAGATATAGATAGATAGATAGATAGATAGATAGATAGATAGATAGATAGATAGATAGATAGATAGATAGATGGCACAGAGTGAGTTGAAAATGAAGGGATCATATCCAGAGAATAAAATTAAGGGGTGAGAGAGGATTATACTAGGAGAAGGAGAAAGGGAGAAGTAGAATGCGGTAAATTATCTCACAAAAAAAAAAACAGAAAAGAAATAAATCTATAAGCCTAGACAATATGAAAAAGAAACGTAAAATATAGGGGTTATTCTCAGAGTTTAAAACTAGACAAGAAGGGCTGAGTTCTATTTATGTCTAGCTTACTGGCTTTGTGACCTTGGGCAGGTCACTTAAATACTCAGCCTCAGTTTTCATTTCCATAAAGTCAGGAAAATAATAGCAGTTACCTCACAGAGTTGTTGAGAAGATCAAATGAAGTGACATGTATAAGGTGCATTGTAAACCTTGAAGTGATATATAAATGCTTGTTATTTCACACACAGAGACTTTAGAACATAAGTAACATAAGTAAAAGTAAGAATGTGCAAAAAAAAAAAAAGACTGGTATCATATTTAGAGCTTTGATTTTCTAGTTTCTGATAATTGTGCTTTGTCCTGAAGGCAGTGAGAAGTCATTGGAGTTTTTTGAACTGGAAAGAGATCAGAGACAAGTGGGAGAACAACACTGTACTATGGAAAGAGCACTCATTCAGAGAAGCTGAGCTCATTTGACTCTTAGTACCACAGAATCCCAGTCTCAGCATGATTAAATCTCCCATCTCCCTGGGCTTCAATTTCCTTATTTGACAAATAAAGGAATTAGACTAGATGGGTTCTGAAATCCATTTGGCTGTGAAATCTGTGATCTTATCATGTTTTAGAAATAAATCTGACCTTGATAGATAGAATGGATTGGATAGGGTAGAAAGTTAGGGCAGCAAAGGGAAAATTTATGGAGTAGTGTGGTTATTAGTTGCAAAGAAAGCTATGATTTCCATTGTTAGAGGAAGTTCCAAAACTAATGAATCACAGGTTTGCCTGAGAAAAAAGGGACGACTATTGATAATTTGCTAAATATTATTATCATAAAGAAAATTATAACTATATCCCAAATGTACAATTTGATGTATATAATTAAATATAATAATGCTAATAACCAATTACCAGATATTGACACAAGATCAGATAACTTGTGCCATGTTCTTGGTTTTCTGCCTATTTACAATGCAAACATGGAGCAGTGACTAAGGTTTGTGAGTGAGCTCAGGGACTGAAAGTAGCATAGAGAAAAATTTTCATATACCTATTCTAATGAAAACACCTATAGTTTAGAGGGCAGTCGGGGGCCCAGAAAATTATGGGTAAAGTTAGATCTTTGCAGCAATTATATTTACTTCAATATCAATTGATCTAAAGAAATATTGTGCTGAATAAATATCTACTGAGTATTTGTATTCCTCATGATGGGGAGTGGAGTGTAGGTTTTTGAAGGCAAACAGAATACAATTTTTTCTAAATCCTAACTAGCTGGAATGACTGTAAGCATGAGCCTGGAAAATGAATATAGGATAGTTTTCCAAAGATAGGCTCACCACCAGAAGGTTGACCACTAGGCAATGGATTCTTTGGATCCTAGCAACTCATACAACTGCTGTAGGGGTGGTTGATAAACTATGCTTGTGGGAAGGAACATCTCAACTCTGGTTCTTCTGGACTTAAATTAATGGTTAACTGAGTGACATCCTGTGACTCAAATAAATATCTCTGACTCATATGCTAATTACTGTACTGGAAAGTTCTACAGTCTTCTTTGGACAATAGTTTAGTAGTTAAACAATAGAAAAAAACATGTAATGAGGAGCAAAATGAATCACCATCAGGAAAGAAAAAATAGACTGACACATTCCAATCTCAAAGGATCTTCCTTCAAGTCAAATTTTAGGTTCCTAATTGAAGAATTCTCCAGAGTATCTGTTGCATGAGACAATGATAGACAGCTTCTGACATGCCAACAAAGAAGAAATCACGCAACTCAGCAACTCCTTCTGTCTCTTTCCCATATCCTTCACTACAAAAATCTGTCCCTTAAGCACAATAAGAACACTGGAGATGGGATGGGGGTGTGAAGAATTAAAGCTCATAGCTCAACTAATATAAATTAGCACAGATCTTAAAATGCGTGAAAATTTTACTAGATCTTTAATAGAATCCCTTTCATAAGTAAACAGTAAGCCTCAAACATATAGGATCATGAGAATATGTATTCACAGCTAGAAAGGACATTAGACCATCTAGCTCAACTTCTTATGTAAAATGATGAGTGTGAAATAGCTACAATTCAAACCAAGGTCTTCTTATTTCAAATCCAAATCTTCTCACTGAATCATACTGCACATTGGCAGCTACCAAAGGGTTTTCATACCCACAACTATTACATACACAAAAATTCATTATCATTTTACAACCAATTAGTCTTGTAGGGAGGTGTACCTCTCCATACAAGCTTTTGTAAGATTTTGTCAATTGGGATCGATGTGACTTACCCACTATTGATGTCATCACTTCTGAGACTCTTCCCAAGGATATCACCATCACTCATATAACCACCGACATCTACTTCAGAAGTCATGTCCAGATCACTGCTTCCTTTTTCATTCATATCTATCTGGGACATGTTTCCAAGGCGAGACACAGCAGCCCGACGCAGGGGGGTGGTATACATGAACCTGGAGGGGTCAGTGTGGATAAAGCGACTGGCGCTGCTCCTAGGATAGCCACCTCCCAAGGATGGGGCATCCCCCGCCTGGAGTCGAGGACTAGCTTGACCCAGTCTCCAGGTCACTGGCGTGGATCGGCTTGTCAGACTCGGTATACTTCTTCCGTTGACTTCAGTTGTCACAGTGCTGTCAAATGTTGTCTCCAGGGTGCTAACCAAAGGAAAAGAGCAAATTGTGGGTTACTGGAAAAGGGAAATAGTCAAAGGATGCAATAAGAGTAGAAAAATTAAACGACTTCTTCAACCCTACAATTTCAACTTAGAACAGCTTTATGGGCACTTCCTCTATCAAAGCAGATTGTAGCTACATGATAAAATGGCACAGGTGCTTTGGCTGAAAAATTTAGCATCTTGTAGACAAGCTGGTGATGACTCTCTCTGAATTCAGACCAGTTGGGCTCAGACAAGAGACATATCACTTATCTAATCACTGAGGACACAGCAGAATACTTCTGATTGTTATGGAATTTAATGGCATCCATATGACCATTGATTCAGGGCTGGAAGGGACCTTCAAAGTCATTTCATCCAATCTCTTCATTTTATTGATGAAAAACTGGACTAGGGTGGTCAAGAACTTGTCTAAGTAGTAGGTGGCAAGGGTGAGATTTGATGGTGACTCCCAGTTAATATATTTCAGTTGCTTGATTTTTTAGATTTTTTAAATCCAAATATGACTATCCAAACCAGGGAATAAATGCACAGATGACAAATAATTTTAGCTCTGTCTTTTCCCAGAAAGTTTATAATGTCTTCCAGGATTCAATCTTATGCTATATTACTTTCTCCCCTAACTCTAAGACCTTAATCTATTCATCCCGTGACTCCTACTCAGAACTGTTCTAGGGCAACCTCTGCATAGTAATCCATGATTATGATTAAGCAGTTGATATCACTACCCATACAAATCCACTTTAGCTGCAACCAATGCCACTGTACTCTACACATTTACTAAGGGTGGTGCTAGCAACAGGTAAGATTCTCCAGAAAACAGATGGGATGAGACATTTCTACAGGAGTTTGGACAGAACCGGGAAATAGCTGACAAATATATTCTGAAAATCTGAAATGCATGGTTAATCAGATTTCACAACATTGTAAACAGCTAATTTTGCATCTGGGGCAATGATAAAGATTCCATCTCCAACCCTAGTGGCCCGGCATGCTTATGATAATAGACGCATATTTTATATATTTGCTGTTCTCTTCGACTTTGTGCACCCTAAGTCTCAGCTACATGACCCTTATTTGTGACTCTGTTGTGTGATATTTCCATAACAAGATATTAAAGTCTAGTATGATTTAAGTGATAACACTTTTAAATTAATTTCCATTCTTTCTTTAAAAGAGAATGGAATGAATTAATTTCCTATCTTCTGAGGAAAGATTCCCTCAGGAGTGTCCCAAGAAAACATTAATTCACTCTTTGAAGTTCCCCTTATAGCCCTAAAGTAGGTTAATAACAGACAAAAGCAGACAGTGAAGTGTCTTCAGTTCAGAGCTGTACTGTTGGTATGAAAGGAGAAGTTTCTATTAGGGTCTTTATTATATAAGCTAAACTGGTCTTTCTTGGTTTCTTACTCAGGTTTGCTTTTTCTCTTAAAAGATGGCGAACCTATCTCTAAGACTTGATTGGTCCAGAGGTCTAAGTCTTTAGTCACTGGCATGGCTTCCCCACTAACCTATGTTACAAAAAGACCAGTTCACCAAAAGTCAATGTCTCTTGGACATGAAAGAAGTCTCACTGCCAGGCAAGTCATTTCATCTGACCCAATATGCCACCCTAATATGATATGGCTCCATATGGAGGTGATACAGGTTGTGTCTCCTTGAAGCATTGTCATATCTTCTTGAGTTTCTTTTTATGTTATTTATAGGTAAACTTCTTTTTGTTAAGTATTGGATGGGCACCAAGGGCCTCTTTTTGTTTCGTTCCCAAACCTGATCTATCATAAAGGCCTAAGGCAAGCCAGGTTTCCATTAAATGACAGTTTATAGTTTTCTGAGAAAATAGTATTCACATTGAGAAAATAAGATGCAATAAAAATGTGATTTGACATAAGGATATACAACTTGCAATGAAAGGTATTGCTATTGTTCAGTCGTTTCAGTCACGTCTTATTCCCCGTGACCCCATTTAGAGTTTTCTTGCAAAGATACTGGAGTAGTTTGTCATTACCTTCTCCAGCTCATTTTATAGATGAGGAAACAGAAACAAATAAGGTTAAGTGACTTGCCCAGGATCACACAGTGTCTGAGGCCATTTGAAGATGAGTCATCCTGACTCTAGGCCCAACACTCTATCCTCTGCACTGCATAGCTGCCCTAATGAAAGGCATACCTCATTCAAAATTAATTTTTAAAGGTTAAAAGTCTTGTAGAGGTAATGAAGATAGTGTGCACAGAGGCTAGGCTGGGTACTGGTAGAGACAGTTTCCACCCAACAACAGCAAAAAATAACAGATCCTTCACACATTCCGATAGCAAAATGTCCTATGAAAGATAGAAAAACTCTTATTTACTCTTGGAATATTGTTCATTTTTCTCCATTAATGAAATAAATTGCTATTCTCTGCCTACAGATTAGATTTTCTAACAAACAAAAGAAAATTCCTTTTGAAGTCATTGATTGCAAATCTTGTTTGCCCACATTACTGTAGAACTGAGTAAAACCTGTGGCTTATCTGGGTCCCCCGAAGACTAGACATTGTCTCTTCTAAATTCTGTCTCAGATCTGCTATGTTTTTCACTGTTCTCATTCTTCTCGTTTCTGGGTCCTCCCCTAGGGGAAAAAATTAAATTAAATTAAGATCTGTACAAATAACATAATGCCCTTCTCAAGAGTTGCACGTTTATCTTTTTGATCTGCTCCATTTTTTGAAAATTAAGCAAAGAGAAAAGGAAATCAAAACAACAGAATGTTGTAAGCCAGAGGCCATAAGTTAAACATGAATGGAAATAAAATGTAATGAAATAGCAAACGAATTCATTTGTCTACAGTTAGTAACAAAAGAACATGTTTTAGTTCTGAAACCCTCTTCACCACTAGAAGAATATTATACACATTTAGAACTTTAAGCATAGATCACTCGGCAACCTCATGATTTGTGATTGCCATCTAGGGGTGACACACTGCTGAATAGAATTTACAAACCAACCTCCAGTGATTTGTGCCTTAATTATATCAGTGGTAGCCTAACTGGAATTACACTAAGGACAACAGAGATAAACTGATATTCCTAAGCAACTTTAGTATTGGGCAACACATTGTCTGGCACTCAGTAGGCACTTAATAAATGCTTGTTAATAATAATGTCATTTACATAGTACCTCCTATATGCCAGGCACTTTGCAATAACTAGAAATATTATGTCATTTGATCCTCATGATAACCCTGGGAAGTAGGTGTTATTATTATCTATGTTTTACAACTGAGGGCACTGAGATCCATAGAGGTTAAGTGATTTGCCCAGGGTGATACAGCTAGTAAGTATCTGAGGCTAGATTTGAACTCAGATCTTCCAGATTCTAGGCTCAGTACTCTATTCATTAGTGCTTGTGACTCTAGCTTGACACATGAATGGGCTATTTCTTAGGCAGTAACTTTCTATGTCTTTTATTCATCTAGATTCACCTCACTTCAAAGGGAAGATAACAAAGTTGGAAAACTAACCTTCATAATATTGGGCATTCCCCCACTAGAGTGGATAAGTGCTTAAAGTTGCCAAAGTATGAGCTCTAGTCCAGAGTTTCTTGACCTCTTGTTTATTTGTTTTACATGGACCTCTTTGGCACTGGGGCCAAACCTATAAGATCCCTGCTCAGGACTGTGTTCTTAAATACATAAAATATAGAAAAGTACAAAGGACATCAGTTATATTGACTAAACACACACACCCACACACACACATACACACATTGTATGTTGCTATTGTTCAGTTCTTTCAGTCACATCTAATTCTTAGTGACCCTATCTGGGGTTTTCTTGGCAAAGATACTGGAGTGGTTTAGCCATTTCCTTCTCTAGCTCATTTTACAGATGAGGAAACTGAGGCAAACAGGGTGAAGTGACTTGCCTAGGGTCACACAGCAAGTAAGTGCCTGAAGTCAGATTTGAATTCTGGAAGACTCATCTTCCTGACTCCAGGCCTGGCACTCTATCCACTGTCACCTACCTGCTGTTTGTATACTCTGATATGTTCTGTATTACCATTGAAATATATGTGTGTGTGTGTGTGTGTGTGTGTGTGTGTGTGTATGTATGTATATGCATATTATAGATATATAGGTATATATATAGACCTCACTATGTACTATATATGGGACATACATTTGCATGTGCATATGTAAACATGTACATATGTATGTATATGTGTGTATATATAGGTAGATAGATGGATAAATATAGGAAGAAGAAGGAAGGAAGGAAAGGAAGGAGGGAAGGAGGGAGAGAAGGAAGGAGGGAAGGAAGGAAGGAAGGAAGGAAGGAAGGAAGGAAGGAAGGAAGGAAGGAAGGAAGGAAGGAAGGAAGGAAGGTTAAGGTCAAGAACCTCTGTGAATAGTATGTGTGTGTCCCTAATCATTCAATTCAAAGTTATAGATCTATGTAATGGAATCAGCAGCTATGTAAGAGAATCATGTGCTCAAGTTGCAAAACAACATGACCACTGGATCTGGAGTCAGAAAGACAGGGTTCAAATCCTGCCTCAGACACATACTAGCCACGTGAAGATGAGCAAGTCACTCAATCTCTGCTTCAGTTTCCTCATCTGTAAGATGGGGATAATAACAGAACCTTCCTGCCAGGGAGGTTATGAGGATCAAATTAGATAGCACACACAAAGTGCTTTGCAAATCTTAAAGCAGTGCACAAATGCATGCTATTATCTATGGAAGAAAGAGAATTACTATAGTTTTGATATGGAAAAATGGTGGTTAAACGGGGATTGAAGAAAATAAGGCAACAAGATATATACTCTATCAAATTGCTTACCATCTTAGGAAGGGGGGCAGGGAGGGAGGAAAGTAAAACATTTGGCACTCAAAATTTTGTATAAAAATGAATTTTAAAAATTGTCTTTATGTGTAATTAGAAAAATAAACTATTATCCACTGGAAAAAGAAAATAAGACAACAGAGAAGAGAGGGTATTTTTTTAAAAACTTAAACTTAAGGAAGGAGCCTGCATAGGTGTGTTTTTTTAGTTATTTTTCCACAGGGCATGGTGAAAAATTTATATGTAATAGACAGCCAAAGAGACAGTCATGTATAGTAATGTATTATGTGTAGTCATATATTATGTAGACATAATGTCACGTATCAATCAAGAGAATCAGAGTGTAGTTGAGATGACTGCCTGCAGGAAAGAATAGAAATCCCCAAAGTATTCTCGTTCAAGGACTATAGGTACTGTGATTGTGCCTGAAAAGGCAGGCTTCTTCTCCCATTTTTACCCTAAAATAAAGATGAAGCTGAGATCTTAAAAAGGGAGAAGGAAGGGAAATAGGTCACCCTGGCATCCCACTCTGAACCACTATTGATGCCACTAGAACCTCTATACAGCAGCTACTATAAAGGCTGGGAGTGAAATCTTGAAAAAAAAATTATATATATATATATATGTGTGTGTGTGTGTGTGTGTGTATGTGTGTGTGTATATATATATATATATACAGAGAGAGAGAGAGAGAGAGAGAGAGAACTTCACTATGTAGAAGATACACAGAGTACATGGAGAATGGCCCAAGCTAACCTGGCTGCTAGGAACAAAAACTTTTTTTACTTCCTCATTCCTTATAGAGCTCTGACCTTCATCTTGAGTCTTGTTCCTATTCTTCACTTCCGTAAAAATTTGTTCACTTTCTAAATTTGCCACAGGTTCCCCCTGGCCTCTACCTCAACGAAGAAAAAAAAAGGTTTCTCTAAGATAGCATTCATTATGTGTTTCTGAGAGATTGAATGCAGATATAAGGGAGTCTATGATTGACTGGATATATACAGCGGGAGAAAGAAACATATTTTTTTCTAACCACTGGGACTACCAGCAACGGGCCTGAATTGAACCAAAGAGGTTTTGTAGATACATATTACTATATATTTGTAAAGGCAAGGAAGAATAGGGGAATTCCTTCCACCAAACAAGATATGAAATAAGCCAGCAATTTTCTGATGGAAGCAGGTTTAGTGAGTGAGCAGAATTCCTTCTTGTCTGAGGCAGTGCCCCTCATGCAAATTCCCTTCCCCTTCCTAGTGTTTCTCCTTTGTCAGGTAGAAAGGAGCCTTATCCCCCTGAAGGGTGGAGTAAAGGAAATTAATAAATGCTTCTTAATGATGATGATTATATTAAAAACTCCTTCTATAACACGCCTAACTCAATCCTTTCTTGATCATTTTCAGTAATAGAAGGCACACATTTTATCAAGGAAGCCTGTTCCTCCTTTACATAGTCCCAGATAGAAACTTATATTGAGACATAAAGGGGAAAGGAAAGAGAAGAGAAAGGAATAAACATTCCTTGTTGTTGTTGTTTAGTCATTTTTCACTGATGTCTGACTTTTCACGATCCCATTTGGGGTTTTCTTGGCAAAGATACTGGAGTAGTTTGTCATTTCCTTCTCCAGCTCATTTTACAGATGAGGAAACTGAGGTTTAACAGATAAGATTTAACAGGGTTAAGTGACTTGCCAAGGTTCATACAACTAATAAGTGTCTGAGACCAGATCTGAACTCAGGAAGATGAGTCTTCCTGCCTCCATGCCCAGTAGCCTATCCACTGTGCCATGGAGCTGCCCATTTAGTAGCTAAAATGATACTAAGAGACAGAAGAGAGGATAGAGAGGATTTCAATAATAGGGAATATCCTATACAAAGGCAAAAAGGTGGGAGATATGAATAAGGCCTTTTGAAGTGAATTTGGTGGGAGGGCTAGGAATGGGTCATAAATTTTATTTTGGTCATTTTGAGTTTCATATACCAAGTGGAGCTCAGCAGCAGGCATATTAGATGTAGATACAGATATAGATACAGATACAGGTATAGGTATAGATACAGGTATATATGTATATATATATATATATAGAGAGAGAGAGAGAGAGAGAGAGAGAGAGAGGAGGTATAGATATAAGTATAGGTATAGGTATAGATCAGGAGGAGATGAGAGCACTGAGATGTGTAGAGAGAAAAGATAAGGGGACATAGAAGGAGTTCTGGAATATACTTACACAAAACAAGCAAGACATGGATAACAATCAAGAAACAGACAGCAAAACAAATCAAAAAGTTAAAAGTATATCCAGTGTAGAACAATTTCATGAAAATCCAGGAAGTAAAAATATGCAGAAAGAGAGGCTAATCAATGGTATAGAGAAGTCAAGAAGAATAAGGAATGAGAAAAGCCAGTAGATTTAAAATGAAGAGATTATTGATGACTTGGGGGGGGGTCAACAGTCAAATTATGGGGTTAAGATCCAGATTACAAGTTGAGAACTAGGTGGCACATGCTCTAAAGGAGGCAACATGTATAGATGACTTCATCTGGGAGTTTGGCAGGTAAAAGGGGGTATGATACAGGAAAATAGCTTGAGTGTATGGCAGAGCTAAGGGAAGGGTTTTTTTTTTAAGTGTGGGAGAGATCTTAGTTTATCTGTTGGCAGCAGGGAAAGAACCAATTAACAGAGATAGGATGGCAGAAAGAAAGAGAATGATTGAGGAGTTCAAGCTCACAAAAGACATGGTTTTACTCCTTTGGATGGTTTTAGTTTGTCAATGGCACCATTAAAATGC